ATACATGCCACAACTAGGCTGAACCTTGAAAACATTATGCTGAGTGAAAGAAGCCAGTTGCAAAGGACTACATACTGTATGATTCCACTTATATGAAAAGTCTAGAATAGGCAAATCTATAGAGACAGAAAGTATACTAGTAGTTGCCTAGTTTTGGGGGAGGGGGAAGATGGGGGACTCAGGGATAACAGCTAAGGGGTGTGGATTTCATTTCATGGCAATGAAAATGCCCAAAATTGATTCTGGTGCTAGACGCATGAGTCTGTGAATATACTAAAAGCCACTGAATTATATACTTTACATGAGTGAATTTTATGGGATGTGAATTATATGCCAATAAAGCTGTTCAAAAAAACATGTAGCCAAAGACAATAGGTAAAATGGGCAGAGCTGTATTCCAATAAAATTGGATTTATAAAAACAGGTGGCTGGCCCATGGCCATAGTTTGCTGACCTCTCTTCTAGAGTAATAGAATCTCAAATTTTACAGATGGTCACTGGTTTACTACCAAAAAAATATACTAGCTTTCCCCGCCTCTCTTGCAGAAGCTTGTGTACAACTTTTGGTAATAGTCTTTAAATGGAAGAGGTGTGTTTTTCTTTGAATCCTTTCATCCTTCCTGTTTCCTGGAAGGGCCAGAGCTCTAGCAGTCATCCTGGACCATGAAGTGACTTTGGAAAATGGAAGCTACACACAGTTGGGCAACAAGAGAGCAGGAGCCTGGAATCCTCACTCCATGAAGCAACATACTAACCTCAAACTGATTTCATCCAGATTTCTTTCTTTCTCCTTCTTGTCTTCTTCTTCTTTTTTTTTTTTTTTTGGTGAGAAAGATTGGCCCTGAGCTAACACCCATTGCCAATCTTTCTCTTTTTTTTGCTTGAAGAAGATTGTCCCTGAGCTAACATCTGTACCAATCCTCCTCTATTTTGTATGTGGGATGCTGCCACAGTGTGGATTGATGAGCAGTGTGTAGGTCCACACACAGGATCCCAATCTGTGAACCCTGGGCCGCCAAAGCAGAGCATATGAACTCAACCACTATGCCACTGGAACAGCCTCTCATCCAGATTTCTCAAAAGAAAAAATAAACTTATGTCAGGGTTACATAACTAATTTTGGAGCTTTTGGTTACTCTGTGCTCACAGCTGAACCTAGTTGAACCAAGTTCTGACTACTAAAGCCCTCAAGGAATTAAAAAACAGCTATGCCTCCTGGAGAGACTCAAGAGGATGTGATGGACATCCAACATCCAATTCTATGTCCTTTTTTTTCCGAAAGCATTTCACTCTTACACTTGATCTCAGCCAAAAGGATGAGAAGTGATTACAGTATTCCATTCTTAATGTACTGGCCTTTTGATCTACTGTCTTACAACTACTTGAGTTCATATCTGTAAGAAAGATATAGGAAGATATATTCTCTAATCAATCCTGTGTACCTTTTTTTAAATATGAAATTTCATAAATATAAGCAGCACCATATAGAACAGCTCCACTGTGTACTAAATCCCTATTTAGTCCAAGTCCTGATCACTGGGGACACAGTCTGTTGTGCATTTCTCTATGGATACAGTAGTATGAGCATTAGCTTGTGAATTTCTCTGCTCTGCAGGACAGAAGAAAACAGTCCTCTGCGTACGTCCAACTTTACCTTGATAAGATTAAAATAATGTATGAAGAGCTCTAAAAGTGTCACAAATGATCTCCACATATAATATTTACTTTTGTTCATAAAAAGATACAGGGCTGCAAGGTCACCATAGCATATCTCCTCCATAACAGTGTGAGGCATGAAACAGACCTAATATTCTCATGATCCCTCCTAAAAAAGATATCTCTGTGTTCCACAGTCACATTCTCCTATTACTGAATGTTTGTGTCCCTCTAAAATTCATACGGTGAAGCCCTAATCCCCAGTGTGGCTATATTTGGAGATAAGGCCTCTGAGGAAGAAATTAAGGTTATATATGGTCAGAGGGATGGGACCCTGATCCGATAGGATTAGTGTTCTTATAAGAATAGATGCCAGAGACCTCCCCCATCCCCCCTTTCCCCGTTTCCTCACAAACGCACAGAGGAAAGGCCATGTGAGGACATAGCAAGAAGCTAGCTAACTGCAAGCCAGGAAGAGAGTTCTTACCGGAAACTGAATTGGCCAAAACCTTGATCTTAAATGTCTAGCCTCCAGAACTGTGAGAAAATAAATTTTTGCGGTTTAAGCCATCCATTCTGTGGCATTTTGTTATGGCAGCCCAAGACCAATACACATTCCAAAAGGAAAGTGTGGAGAAGAAGATCAGCATAATTTTCTAATTATCCTCTGATAAAATCCACTTTAACACTGACATCATCAAAAGCTGGCTTCACATATTCTGGACGTGCTTGATACTTCGACTTGATTGTTACCCTCAAGGGTGATTTTTTTGGGTTCTTGGAGGCTCTCTGCTTGAGCGTCTTCTGACTGCAACTCCTGTGACATGTAGAATGATCAACCATCCTGAATCGCCTGGGACAGAGGGAGGGGTTCCTGGGACTCAGGTCTCTTGGTACTGAAACAGGGAGAGTTCCAGGCAAACTTGGACAAGCTGGTCACTCTAGATGGGCAATGCATTCTATTCCCCCAGTTACCACTCCAACTATAGCTCTAGTTTTTCTAACAATCCACACCACACAGACTCTTTCTGTTGAAGTCTCATCTCCCTTCCAAGCAGTCCTCTTGGACAAGAGTCAAAAAGGCTTCAGGCCAGCTTCCTCCTTCTCTAATGTGGCCCACATCTGGAGCACGAGATACACTCAGACATCATTGTCCCTGACAAACTATGGGAGTGACAGCTGATTCCCAATACATACAGCCACTTTCCTTTTCTCTTCTGCCAAAACTTCTCACTGGCCATTTCTCCTATCCTTGGGACTTCCCAGATGTGAGTCAAACACTACTGTACTTCTCAAAACCCAGGGTACACATATTAAGCTCGCTGAGTAGTGCCATGGAAGCGCCACTCACCATACTTGGAGAGCGGAAGCATAACGACGGCTCTCTCCAAAACTCCTCCTCATGAAATCACCTCTTTCAAAATCATCTTCAGCCTTGAAACTGGTTTAAAAAAGTTCCAATAATTGAAAAACCAGTTCTTGGATTGTGGTTACCAAATACAGGGAGAAAAACTGACCAAGGGCCCCAGATGCTGCACTCTGAAATCCTTTGCCACATTTGCACCATAGGTCAAGTTTCCCATGGGCTGCTCCAGCCAACAGCTGAATGCAGCACAGGTAATAAGGCAGGCTCTTTCCTAGGAAGACTCCTCTGAATTTTGGCTTAAGGATTCCCAACAGCCTTGCTGAATCTTCCTTAGACTGTACAGCAGTTTAGGACACTTCCACCACCTCCCCCCACCTCCTCCACTCAGTTTCAGACTTGCATCACAGTCTGATGTCTCTCCCAGCCTCCCCTGGCTCCCTCTCTATTCTCTCTCACAAGTGTTTCCTCTAATAAAACTCTTGCACATTTAATCTCATTTTAACAACTGCTTCTCAGAAGACCCAGACTAACATAACGATATTTCCTTTGAAAACACACATCTTGTCAGGACCTCACTTTCTTGTTTCATAGTTGCTGCATTGTAATGCTGCCAGCAAAACTTCCAGTTCAATATCCAGTTATGAGATAAATGAATGATATGGTGAGAGGGAAAAAACTATGGGATTCTATTTTACATTTCTTGCTATTCAGTCACTGAAAGTTTTGTTAAAATGTATGTCTAATTTGCATGAATATAAAGGTGAATTTTGGTAAGAGTTCTCATAGTGCATGCTGAGTATATGAGTGGAAACATTGTATGTGTAAATCTACCTTTGCGGGGCAACTGGTCTCGTGCCAGGACTTGGATGAGCAGGTTGCTACATGCTACCTCAGAATTCCAAAGCAACCTCAACCCCAAAACCAGCAGCTCCCTCTATTCCTCTGCATTTTCTTCTTCCCTTGATCCCTTCTCATTTTCCCCATCTATCTTTCCACTGTATTTCTTGTTGTGGCACTGCTTGAGGGATCACCCAAAAGCAATTATGTGAAGAATATAGTGGTAGAAAAGAGAATGAAGCCTTTATTTTGCAGAGTCTGAAATAAATTGCTTAAAGCTATACCCCAAAGAAATAAAAATAGCTTTCTTTACTTGTTCTCCAGAATTTCAACTACCCCAAATCCCCCTCCCGTTTTTTTTTAGAAGAAAAACTTTGGATTGTAGTATATTATTATACAAAAGTATGTGAAAAACTTCAATTTTCACTCATATGCTTCATTTTTCCTGTGATGATTGCTGACCCCAAATTGTATTTTGATAACACCCTGACAAAAACCCAATGCTTTTCCAAGCAAATAGGATTCCTCTAAGTGATTTGTATCAAGGACTGTTGTTTGTCAAAAGGTGACAACATGCTATGTTGTACCATGGTCAGTTTGTTTATTTTTTTATAGCAGATATGGAAAATAGAAAGCAGAAGAAAAAGAAAATAAAAGAAATGAAATGGGGCTGGCCCCAGGGCAAGTGGTTAAGTTCATGTGCTCTGCTTCAGTGGCCCGGGGTTTTGCAGGTTCTGATCCTGGGCAAGGACATGGCACCACTTGTCAGGCCACGTTGAGGTGGTGCCCCACATGCCACAACTAGGAGGACCCACAACTAAAATATGCAACTATATACTGGGGGGATTTGGGGAGAAAAAGCAGAAAAAAAAAAAAAGAAGATTGGGAATAGTTGTTAGCGCAGGTGTCAACCTTAAAAAAAAATGAAAGGATTAAATAGCCACTCTTCAAACATTATCAGTTTTTTTTTTTTGAGGAAGATTAGCCCTTAGCTAACATCTGCTGCCAATCCTCCTCTTTTTGCTGAAGAAGAATGGCCCTGAGCTAACATCCATGCCCATCTTCCTTTACTTTATATGTGGGACACCTGCGACACATGGCTTGATGAGCTGTGCCGTGTCCACACTGGGATGTGAACCAGTGAACCCCAGGCCGCTGGAGCATAACCTGCAAACTTAACCGCTGCACCACCAGGCCGGCCCCAATTATCGTTGTCAATTTTGATGTTGTTAGTGCTTTTCTCTATGTATAATTTGTTTTCACAAAACTATGCCCTTAGTGGCTATTCCAAGTTTGTTATTTGATGGCTGGTAAAATCAAAGCCTTGGTTCTCAGTCATAATCTAAAGAAATGGAAACCAGAGAAACATAATTGGTTTGGGATGAAGTCCAGGATAATAATTGTCAGTCCTTCCATAAGGCCAGAGACTGTATTGCTGATGGTGACAGGCCTCGAGTTGTCTAAACAGTCCTGAATTTACAAGTGCCTGACGGTTTTAAAGTGGTTCCCAGCGCCCAACAGTAGCAAGCGTCAGTTTCCTCAGTTAACCTGCGCTGCGGGAGAAGAAAGAACTCTGTAGTGCAGAAGTAAGGGGGAGGAAACCAAGTGGATTCTCTGGTCATCGGGTTAGCGAAGGTGACCCAGGCACAGTTGTGTCCACCGTAAAAAGCACAGCGGCTGTGGCTTGGCCTCACTCCCTGGGCAACAGGATTCTGAGCTGAAAGTGAACAGCCCTTGAAGAAGTGTCTTATCAGATGCCAAGCACCAGGGGTTTGGACTTTTCTAAACGGAAGCACCATGGAAGAGGCTTAAAGCGCAGGTTTTGCAGCCAAATTGACGGCATTAGACGAGGTCCATCACATACTAGCTCTATATTGGACCAATCACTGGCCCTCTCTTATCTTTAGTTTCCCAGTATACAAAATGGAAATAATATTTCTCCTGGGGCTGTTGTGAAAAAGGATTAAATGGCATGGCAATGCTGCTGTTAAGCACAATGTCTGATCAGTTAAAAGTCTTATAAGGACTTGGTTATTATAAACTGCCCGACCTCGCCCCGCCACCGCCATTGTGCCTACCGGACCCGCTTCCGGGAGCCCCTTCACCTCAGTCTCCCCCAGCCGAACGCGGATCCCTCCGCGCTCGCGTCACTTCCGGGAGACTCTGGCCGCGGCTCCTCGAAATACCCGGATGTAAATATCATGGCTGCCACCAGTCAGGGACCGCAATGGAGATCGAGTCAAGAGTTGCCCGGAAAGCGCTCAGAGTTTGGGGGCTTCAGGGAGGCCTTTCAAAGGACAAAGGATGAGGCTGCTGGGCGGCAGGGCAACCCAAACGGTCTCAGGAACTGCGCCGCCTCAGCGCTTCCTGTTAACTTGCCTCCAAGTTTTTCTAGAGGAGTCACTCCTCTTGGCAGGGTGGGGCCCGGCTTCCTACCCGGGCCTTCTTTGTATGCTGGGTTTTTGTTCTCGTCACTCCTCGCAGTCTTGGAGCTGGGCAGGCAGGCGTTGGCTGGCCTGGGAGGAAGGGGCGGGCCAGAGGCTAGCACGGAGAGAGGTGGAGCTCAGTGGCAACTACCCGCGCGGCGGCTGAGGATCAGGGGCGCCTCATTAATTGCAGCCTCGAGCTGCCGCCCCCTTGGTCGTTTCCGCAGAGATGCTAATCATCGTGGGGCTCTCAGAGTTGGCCATAGACCTCTTCCCTGCCGACCCAGCCATACCCAGCAGTAGACTTTGATCCTCGAAAATATCTAGGATATGTATAGTATAGTTTGTGATGGTTTATTTGAAATCCCAAACATAAGCAAACTAATAATGTTAGTTTTAAGTTTCAGAATTAGTAGGGAAAGTTTACATGTTGAGTCGTGGGTTGGTTTTCTTTTAAGGTTTAAGTTTAGATAATGTGTTAGTGCTTGTGAGATTTTAACAAAACATTCTTTTAAAATGATTGGTATGAGAAAGCAGGCTAATATTTAAAATATTCAGAAAATTGTACTTTGCTACTGCGCACTTAGGAAAAAACACGAAGACACCAGAATTGTACTTCATGACAAGGCTTTAATTGCCAGAAGCTTCTGAAAATACATTAATTCTAGGTGTAGAAATACTAATTTGAATTAGTTCTCTTCTCTGCAGGATGTACTGTAGGTTTTGTCATCCAGTGAAACAGGAACAAATGTGAGTTGATTTATTAAAATTTCCTAGTAGTTAAAAGTACTTTTTAAGTGCTTAGCTATGTGTCTGTTGGATTCGAAATCACAGTTGAAACCATTCTTATTTAACTGAAATATGTAATGAGCTGATAATGTAAAGTACACATACAGAATGTTACTATTATTATAGAAACAAGAATATGGAAACTAATATTTAAAACAGATTGACTCTACATAATATAGCATGTTATAATTTGAATTTTCACTTAAACTCTCAAAATTAGAAGTGCTGACCTAGAAAGGCTTAAAAAAGAAAAAAAGAAATGTAGACATTTGTCTCTTCTCTGAACATTCTGTTGTTTGAAGAGAAAATAGATGACATTAGGACCTGGAATTTGTTTATACAATTACATATTATGTGCAAAGCACTGAGCTGGTAATGGATGAGAAAGTAAGATATAAATCATGAACAGTTACTGCTCTTACTTTTCTGGCAAAATCATGTCTCCCTGTGGTACATTTTAACCTCCAAAACTCATGGTTCTTGTACTAGTATTAATCTATACAGTTGTAATAATATTTTAAAGAAAGCAAAAATAAATGATCTGTTTATACATTATAAACATGTTTTCCTTGTTTATGTATTATTTGAGATTGTGTTTATAAGTGCATTTGTACATATTAGAGTACTTAGTAACTTGATGTTCTTAGATGGCCTGAAATTCTTACTTTTTGTATGGTTTCTTGCAGGTAAGGCTATTGGGTTCTTGGCACAGTACCATAAGGACCTGGACAAAACATTGTTAAGGTGGAAATTTTTACTGTATTAATCACTTCAAACATTTGGCCAGTCTATTTAGTTTTCCACTGTTTTAGTCAAATAACTAGATGTGGATTTCACATAGTGAGCAATATTTGTGGGGTAATTGATGATCACTTTAAATTATTTGCTACCAGATGTAAAGTATGATCTCAAATAATTAACTTTTATGGAGTGCTTACTGTATATGCCAATCTCTGTGTTAAGTCCTGTGCATACATTATCTCACTTAATACTTAGAGTAACATCATGAGTTAGGTCTATGAAACTTCCTATTTTACAGATGGAAAAACTGAAGCAAAGAGAGATTAAGTTCTTTGCTAATGGCCCCAAAGTGACAGCCATGTTCTAGAGCCTTTCATTCCATATAACTGAAGACTTTGGTAGAAGAATGAGAATGGAACTTAAATTCTCAAGAATCCTTAAAAGGGTGCCTTTCACCATTGTCTCCCAGATTTTCTTCCAAGCCCCTGACACTTGTTCTGTAAGTTTTGATGCGCAAGTGCAGCAGTGACAACTCCCTCTCTATTGCTGCCTGGTCTGACCACATTGTAAGATGTGGCTAATTTCAGAGATGTTAAAATGTAAAATAATGTGCATCTCGGAATTGATGACATACAGCAGGTGATCTCTGAGCTCCTTTTCAACACTGATTCTATGACTTCTGTGATTTTATAACATTTTATTGCTGGCTTATGTGTTTTTTAATGTAAATGATTTGAGATAAAACATAAGCTGCTTGGTAGTAGAAAATTAGGAACGATGTCTGTCTTTTTCACCTCTGAATCTCAATACCCAGAACGATGCCTGGCATAGAGTAAATGCTCAGTACATATTTGCTGAATGAATTAAGAAAATCTTTCATTTTATATTCCAAATACAACTTTTTAAAAAATTGTGTTTGACTTGAATTTGACAGTGCAAAAATATTTTGCTAACATTTTTTGCATTCAGAAGTGAGCTGGTATAAAACAGTGATCTTTCTTTCCAAACATCTTTTCTGCTCACTGTTGTTGATGGTTATCAAGTCTGGGGTGCGGTTTGTTCCTTGAACAAGTATGGTGAAATTAGAAATGCTGGCATATAGACTTTTTAACAGGGAATCGAACTGATTTTATTTTTTAAACTGGCTAAAGTGTAGGAACACAGTTTCATATATAGAAATTTTCATTTGAACGAAAGTTGGAAAAATGTTATTTGATACCTTCATTAAATTTGTATTAGTATCTTGGAGGTGATTAAGCATATCATCCTTCCAAATGTACAAATAGTATTAAATGTGTCTGAGTTATGAATGATGAAAATAAACTATAATTGAAAGATATTTTAAAACTGTGTGAATGGGCAGAAAAGTTTTCAAGTTTGGGGATGGGCAAGTGTAAGATAATGTAACTAAAGAAATGATCTCAACTACATTTATAGTATGTCTGATGAGGCCTCTACTTTCAGTTAGAACCAGGAAGCAGGCACAGGAATTGTTATAGAGTTGTAGACTATTCTCTGGACATAAATCAGCTGAGTGTTCTATTGTGACCAGAAAAGACAACAACCTGTGAGGTATCATCGCAAAAGGATTTGAGAAAATCAACAAAAAATACCAACGTCAAACAGCACAATGGTCTATCTAAACATGAGATACAAGCAATTATTATATATTCATAATAGATAGATTCAGAATGATCAAAATCCTTTCAATTTTAAAAATAGGTTTATAGCTATAATTTTCCCCATAGAATTTTGGAAAGCCTGTATACCTGCCTGTATACCCAGCTTTTAAATACTAAGTACAGGAGTAAAGTAATTTGCGTAGCTACTAAAATTTCTGCCATTAAAATAAAACTCTGTGCCATGTTACAGCATATTATTACTGAGTGAACATAAGCCACCAGCTTCTCTGAATTTCCACTATCAGTTTGGTTTTCTCAGGGCCCTTTTTCACGGAAAACTTCATTTTTATTCCATAATAAGTTACTACCTATGCAATAATGAGGGAATAGTATTCAATTCTGTGAGTACTTATCTCCTTGCACAGACTGCATAAATGTATACTTTCCTGAATCCTCAAACCCCAAGGAGAATAAGGGCCTACAGGAAATTATTTTATGAGTCCAAATAAAATAGTTCATCTTATGAGCTTTCACAGAAGTTTGTGCTTAAGTCTTATTCCTTTAAAGGTTTGCAGAACTGAAAGAAGAGTGATATTTATTGTTAAGTTTGGAGCAAATAGGTTCTTTGAGTTCGATAACCAAAGAATTTTTTTAAGTTCCTAATGGTGGTGCTTTGTATTACCTCAAAAATTGTTTTTTCTTTAAAATTTCTACTATTTCTATACCTTTTTCCTCCATCTTTCTCTTTCCCTATAAATAAATCACAGTAAACCTCTCCCCCTCACCCTGCCAACTGTGCATTCATCTAGGCTGAGATGCTAAGATGTATTCACTTTGTTTTGTATACTTCTTCCACATGTTTAAGAATTTATATCAAATATAGATGATTTGGAAAATTTGACATTTGGAGACAATCTCAGTGAGTGAAAATAATAAAATCAGAAAGGCATGGGACAGTTGAAAGGAGACCAGAAGCAAAATTTGAAAACCCTCTCACATTATTTACCTATAGCAAAAGTGAATTTATAAGCATCTCATTTAAACTCTAGGGCAAGTAAGTCCATTAAAAGTTTTTGGAGAACAGGGAATGCAAATGGAATGTTGCTAATTCGTTGTTTTTAGCTTGGTATATTGAAGGTAAAGGATGTTCCAAGTTCACTAATAACTTTATTCTTGAAATCCTGATTTTTTTTCTTTTGAGGTCTCAGCTGTGTCTTCTTTTAGTATGGGTTATTCAGAAATGTTATCCTACAACTTGGTGGAAGAAATATTGTATTTCCTTTCTAATCTTTGTTAGAAAATCATTCTTTTTTGTAGTCAAAAGCTTAATGGCTTGATGGCTCATTTTCATAGGCAGAATATTCTTTTTATGCTCTGCCTCCTAATTTGGTGACTGTGAGGAGTCTCTTGTTTAACAAGTATCATTTATGAAGTGCCTACACAGGGTTAAGAGATAGATGTGACAAGCTGACTACACCTTGCCGCTGCCCTGGAAGTGCCTATGTGAGAGTGACATTTAAACATACAAGCGCGATGAAGAATGGATCGTACCGTGATGAAAGTATGTACAGAGTATAGAGAGACATAAGTGATCCTTCCGGAGATTTAGAGAGCATGTTAAAATGGGGAGAGGGGCTTCATAGAACTTGGATGGCCAGGCTCGTTTGAGGAAGCGCTCTACACACTTTGGTGGCTTTCTCAGCAGCAACAGAATTAACATAGGCGAGGACAGTTCGTCACTGCTAGACTCTCCTAAGCATTGTGAGCTATTTAGCAGCCTTGTCTCTGTGGCCTTCTCCTACCAGCTAGCTTCAGGTGGGATCAGGAGGAGCAGTTGGCTTCCTCATTCCCCACTTCTGATCTGTATATATGCTCTCACAATCTGACTGTATCACTTTCTGATCCTTCCTGTCCATATATGTCATTCTCATGTATTTCCTTTTACTCACTGACGACTTTGGTACCTGACTTACAGTTTCCCTCTCTTCCCCATGTCCCAGCTTTAAGCCAGATGACTTAAAATTCCATGTGGATAACCCAGCCAATATCCTGGCCTTTCAGATGCTTGACCTCCTTAAATTCAGTGGTTTTTATCTTTCCGCAAAGCCACCCACTCTCTGGACCTTGTCATCATTTATGTCAGCTTCACCCTTAAAAGATGAAAATAAACTCTTCTACTTTCTGCCCATTTGCCAGCTTTCTAACTGAGTGACTTCCAATGCATCTATAGTTCAGCTTCAGGAACTCCAAGCTCTTGACTGTGTTACTCTCCCTATGTCAGTTTCTTCTACTTTTCACTTCCCATCACGTCAACTACTACACTCCTGCACTCTTGTCTTTCTGTTGTACCTACCCAGTAAAACCCAACCCTAGATGAGAAATGATGATAATAGCTAACATTTACTGTATTCCAAACACTTCTAAGGTTATCTGCATTGTCTCCTTTAATCTTCATAACTGCACTATGAAATAGGCATTATTTTTATCTCTGCTTTGCAGATGAGGAAACTAAAACCCAGTTTCTACTAGTAAGTAATGTCTCTAGAATATGAACCCAAATAGTTTGCCCCTAGAAACCATGTTCTTAACTATTACTTTAGACTACCTTCCAAACCAGCTGTCTTCTCTGCTTCCATAGTTTGATGCAAAATGGTTTTAGGGACAGAGTAGATTTGGAGGTTTCAATGGAGAATGCTTAAAGTTCTCTTCTTAGCCCTTGGTTCAGAACTAACCCTCTTGGTAGGTTTCCAGGCAAGCCAGGAAACATAGAGGGAAATAACAATGATTAGGTATTTAATGCCACAGTTCATGCCACCAGCTGCTTATGTGTGTCTGTAGCCAGAGGGAGAAGAAAAATTAGAGAATATGCATCAGTTTGGGGGTTGAGCATGACATATCACCTCTGCCTGATGACCAGGTAACTACTGAACTTTAAAGACTGAACTTGGCTTTATCAGCAAGGGAGTAGACAGGAGAGAGTCCTCCATCTCTTTTGAGGACAGTCACTCTAATAATTTTTTCCTCTGCGTTTCTTTCTTAATGTCCCTCTTTTTGTCATGGATGTGTTGCCCCTGACATGATCACTTGAAGTGATAAAGCTTTTGAGAGCTGTTTGCTAGAGTTTGTGGGCCCACTTGTGAGGCCCTCTAAGTGGTTATTTTAGGGCATTGTTTTGATGATGTTTTCATTTCCCTGTGCAAAAAACCTTTCCCATTGCCATTCTTAGGTACTTTAAAAGGCAAACTTTTATTTTTGTGTATTTAAAATAACACTAATAACTTCTTACCTTTAATATCAGATCCACCATAATTTCTGTATATAAACTCACCTAAATGATATTTCCACCACAATTCCGAACCTGAATTTAAGTTACTCAATTTC